GTCTTCCTCGCCTTTCCACGATGGCCTTCAACGTCCTTACTATCCCAGCGATGTCTGCGGAGTGCGAGAGGGTGTTCAGCAGTGCGAAGCTTACAGTGGGCTTAAAACGCCAGAGCCTCGAAGACAATACTATCACATGGTGGAGTGTCTGAAACAGTGGGCAAAGAGGCAGTAAAGACTGGGAGACTCGGATCCGGGTGGCTCAGGGGGGGAAAAAACGGGGCGGTGCGGAACAACCCACTTCGGGGGATTATGTAAGCGGCTTGGCAAAGCTTTGGGTCAACGCAAGTCGAGGAACTGACAAGGCAAGTCGAGTATCTCTAGCCTCAAATCAAAGCAAGTCGGTGTGCCGATTTGACTTGATTTGCCTTGTGGGCAGCACTGGTCAAGGCTTGCCAACCACAGCATGTTGCTCTCTCGAGCGATGTTTTCACTATTTCTGGGGTCTATCAATTCTCGATTTGGTTCAACCTGACTGGTTCCTCAACTTTAATTGAGAATACCGCTCCAAGGCGCTCTGCAGCACAGCTCCAAGCAGCTGCTCATGGTTGAATCCGCAGGATTCAGCTGTCTTAGTCAGCGCTGAGAATGACGGGCGCATCCCAGGAATCGCGTTGATCTGGCCCGGGAGGTTAATTAACTGCCAAACTGTCACACACACGAATCAAAACGCAAACCTACCTCAAGAACATAAGGCAACCCGTCCAGACCCATTCGCATATCCACGCGGCCGATGTCGCGGCAACCGAGAGCCCGCCAGGCTTTGAGCGCCAGGTCCTCCGTTTCCTGAACCTTCCGACTGTCCTTGGCGCTCACCACTCGGAGGGGATGATCATCTTCAGCGTCAGGGTCGTGGTTGGCCCAAAATGGATGGTAGTTTGCTTCGCGGATATCCTCGGTCGTGGAGGATTTCCAGTCCTGTTGAGCAGTTCCGATGACTCTGGCCGATGTTCCCGTCCCGAGTATGCTGACCGTATACTCTGATCCCGCAAGGAACGTCTCGATAAGGATATCCTGCTCAGGAAAACGAGAATGCAGCTGGCGCACACTTTGCTCCAGCTCCGCCATCGTCCGTACTTTGCTGAATGGTGATATCCCCTTTGACGAGCCTTCACAGTTGGGCTTGATAAAGAGCGGGAACTGCATCGCATCTGCATATCGGCTTTTTGCAAGTACATCTGCGATCGCCGAGTGCAGATCTACGCCGCTGTCGAAGCAAGCAGAAGGTACAATGGCAAACGGCGCTGTCCGGATTCCCAGATGCTCTAGCACCATCTGTCCGGTGCCGTTAGCCCTGCTTCGAGTTTGTCTCGGAGAGGTGCATGGTCATGAGACGGGCATACCTTGGTCCGCGCCTTGTCATGGGAAAGCGAGAGGGTCGCCGCATCGGAGAACACATGGGGGATCTGGTATGCTTCCAGAAGCCCCGAAACCTGTGCCTCCCGTCCAGCGCCGTATATGCCTTCCGCGGTGGGAAATGCTAGGTCCCAGGACTCGTGCTTCCCCTCAGCGAGCATGGCGACGAGCTGCTTGATGCCTGCGACGGGGACGACCTTGTGACCGCATGCTTCGAGCGAACGGATCGTCGCGTCGATGGTGCCCTGAGTGTCGAATTCCTGGCATTCTTCAATGCTAAACCCCTGGGCACGGTAGCTCTCGAAGCTGTCGTAGATAAAGGCCGTGACAATCGGGGACATGCTGGGCAGTAGATACTTCTCGATGAGAAAGTGATGAAATCCGTGTTCAGGGCAAGGCTGTTCGACAACGGGGACGCGATGCGTTTGATTCCTCTGTCAACACACCGAGTCCAACTGTTCAAGACAGTGCTGAAGTCGTCAGAAGATCGGAGTCCCCGATGGAATAAGGGCCACAGCTGCCGCGCTGGCCAAGGTGAAACCGTGAAAGATGTCTCAGACACGCGGTCATTCCATTGGCAGATACCCGAATTGTCGCAGGGGTTGTTGATGCGAGAACCTGCCTCAATCACGCCGCCACGCTCGTAAATAAATAGAATCGTCACTGCCAGCACACCGGCTGCAACTTACCTAGAGATCGGCAGGAGCGACCTGTGCTTTCCCTAGGTGGTTTACGTAACAACCCGAAGCCTGAGGGCAGCTGAGTTGGGCAGTCAGCCTCAATGGATCCTTTCCGCGCATCAAATTAAGGCACCCGTACTTACCGCCGAGGCTTCCCGGCCACATCCGGGGATCGATCGACATGTGGCTTCCCGTCTTCCAGGTGGGGGAGTCTGACACAATGCTAGCAGGGCAGGGGGTACCTCAACATACGGCTGTCCATGTCGCTCGTACTTGCTGCTGAGCTCGTTGTTCAAGTTTACACCTCAGCCCAGACTCAAGGGTTTTTCAAAACCAATTTGGAAGTTCCCTGGGCTCCTGGGGTAAGGTCATTCGTCGACTTTCAAAACCTAACCCTCAATACCTGAACTGAGCATTAACAACGATCACAAACATTAATCATGTCTCTCCGTCTCGCCCTTCAAGTCCGGTCTTGGAGACGTCCGCCGGTCATCACACGAGACAACTCGCGGCGCACCATCTCCAAGTCATCAATTCGATGGGCCAAACCTGTACCCACGGCAGGGCATGTCTTCTCGCCTCCACCGGTAGCATGGTACTCAGACGAACGGGAAGAACACTACTGGAAGAAGATACCCAGGTGGAAGCATGTTACAGTCGAGCAGTTCCTCAGCCACAAGTGGCAGGTACGTCTCGCTCTAGACTCAGACTTCGCTCGCAAAGTGATCTTCCACGACTAATCATCATGGAGTAGATGGGAAACACGGTCCAAGGAGCCGCCGCACTGGTCGAATTCCTATCCTCGATCCTGCCCGCGACGATTCCTCCACAGGGAGACATGGAACCTAGCCTTCGAATTACCGACATACATACACGTGAGGATTTCATTGCTCGAGTGAAGGCGGGAATCCAAAAGGCGCCCATGGCCATTCGTCTGTCACCTCACATCCTCAGCGTGGTCAACTGGTCGGACCCGTTGAATGACCCGATCAGACGGCAGTTCATCCCGGTTTCCTCTCCGCTGAACATCGACCACCCGATGGCGGTGCTTGACCCGATGCACGAAGACGAATACTCGCCTGTCAACGGTTTGATCCACCGATACCCTGACCGCGCTCTATTTCTCGGTCTGTTTCCATATGAGCCCTCCCAGGGCCTTCCTGATCATTGCCCCCCTTGGTATGTCACTGTGTACTAACATTGACAACATCAGCAACATCCGTCTGTCCCGTATACTGCCGTTTCTGTTTCCGGTCGTATACAGTCGGCACCGAGACCGAATCTGTCAAGAAAAAGAAATTCATCCCACACCCAAAGAAGTGGGCGCCCCGGTTCGAGTACATTGAGAAGACACCTTCGCCAGGGACATCGTCGTCTCTGGAGGTGACACATACCTCCTCGAGCCCGAACAGCTGCGCTATATCGGCGAGCGCCTGGTCGAGATTCCTCACATCCGGCGGTTCAGGTTCGCAAGCAAGGGGCTTGGGGTTTCGCCCATTCGCCTCATCGACCCCAACGACACGTGGACGGATACCGTCATCGAGCTCGATCGTCGTGCGCGCAAAGCCGGCAAGCATGTCTGCATCCATACGCACATCAACCACCCTAACGAGATCACCTGGGTGACGAGGCGGGGCGCCCAGCGGCTGTATGAGGCTGGGGTGACAGTGAGGAATCAATCTGTTTTGCTGAACGGGGTCAACAACGGGCTGGAGACCATGACGGAGCTTGTCCATGCGTTGGGGGACATCAACATTCAACCGGTAAGCGGATTTTACTTATCGAACCTTGTCCCTTCTTATACACTATACCTCTCCTCGACCGAGCAGTGGTTCACGGAGTTCCCGCTAAGAATCATCATTTCAATGCGCAGTACTACGTCTATCAAGGCGACATTGTCCCGGGCGCCGAAGACTTGCGCACGCCGCTCAGCCACGGTCTGTATTTGGAGCGGCACATCCGCGGGCGCATCGCAGGCTTCTACGTGCCGAATTTCATTCTCGATCTCCCCGCCGAGGGCGGGAAGCGACTGATTCGGTCTGTCGAGAACTATGACCGGCGAATCGGGCTGGCTACATTCTCGGCCCCCGGGCTGAAAGGTGAGCCGACCGAGATGCAATATTGGGATCCGTTGTGGTCGCTCGAGCCAGACACGAGGGAAGAGGTTTTGGAGCGGTGTAAGAGGAAGTAAGGCAGTCCTCCATCCAAAGTATAGCTGGATAGAGCAGGTCACGCCATAATGAAAATGAGAAACTTCGGCAACTGCGAACGTCACTACAGCTCAGCATGTAGTTATATTAGACTGTGGAATTCAAGTTGTCGCAGTCTGAAATTCGTCTTCTGATGTGAGTTCATGGTTGGGAGACGGCCTGGTCAAATAGATTTCGGATGGTAACTACCTTTCAACACCGGATAGGAGCACATACATGCCAACGGAACAGAGCGTAAGTCATTGCCCGAGCACTATGGCGCTTGTCCTATATTATAAGCATAAGCTTAGTATTATTATTCCGACACCGTTGTGCCCTAGGGCGTGCCGGACCTTCAACAACTTACTATACAGGAAAACCGCGCCGTCGTAGGCCGGGTGAGAAACCCATATCGACAATCAAGGAAACGATGAGTGTATGACCCTGCAAATACAAAGTGAGAAGGCCTCTTGGCCTTCGATGGAAAGGGATATCAGACCGCGAGCTCTAGCTCCAGCCTCCTAGCCAGACTGTACATCGGCAATTTCCCCGAGTCCATCAGCCAGTCCAGGATCCTCCCCGTTAGCCGTGCAGCTTTGGGACTGATTCCCTGTAGGACAGAATAAAAGTCCCTTCGCGTTCTGATTTCGGCTCTCTCCCATCTTCGAGTCAGCGGTGGGGCCAAGCACCACATCACAAGGTGTTCGACAGTCTCTCGCCCCTCTCCACACTCGCATATAGGCGTCAGTACCTCTGGGACTCTCCTTTCGAATAAGAAAGCCCGAAGGCCTATGGCCCC